GGAAGCCTTTGGACTTGCTGTGCAGGTCCAGCTTGGACAACTGGTCAACCCTGCCACCACATTTGCTCCTTATTTAGGTTTCATTCCCCTCAATATTTCATCCCACCTAGTCCCCAGAGCTTCCTGAGGAGCTGGAGCCTGGATTAGGAATCCAGTTGCTGATGCTCCAGAGCAGGCCTGTGGCAAAACCCCAGGCTGCTGTGATTGTGGGGGAGGGGGAGGGGGGCGGGAGCAGCTGCAAGAGTTACTTCTGGCTCCTGCAGCCATGAGAACTGTTGGTGGGGGGGGGGTTGTTTTGTTCTGTTTTCAATACAATTGACATCAGGTGCTCCCAGCACACCGGCAGAGTCCCAACTGACTCAACAGGGCTCTCATTGTCCTGACATCATCCTGCTTATTTGCTAGGCTGAGGACACAGCAGCACAGAATCACTCTTCATGAAACAGGATGGCTTTGATGCCATTGACTGAAGCCCAGGCTTGAAATGTTCCCTGTGTCCTGACATTGAGTGAGTTACTACTGATCAACCAGCCAACAAGTGTGTGTGAAAGCAAGTTTGTGGGAATCTGCCCCTTCTTTGTGTAGTATGGAGAAGTTAACTTTGATTAGAAATATGGACAGGACAGATCTGGTTCCTGTCCTCAGATGGCTGGCATCAGCCAATGACCTTAGAAAACACATCACAGGCTGTCATAGTTTACATGAATGGGAATAACCTTTACCATAAAACATGGCTAAGATTGGCAGATGTCTGTGTATTGCTCCAAGCCTTTGGCACTTATCAATTCCTTATGACAATAAGTTTTGTTATTCTCCCCACCTTACAAGATGAGAAAACGTAGGTACAGATGAGGCACAGCCAAAATCACATTCAATTGGCCATGCAGTGAGCACTGTCTTTGAAGCCAGATTCCCAAGAATCCTTGTCAGGGCACTGGAATCTTTCCCAGTCAGTCTCTGCCATCCAGTAGATGTTCTCTTGTCAAGGTCACTGTGACCTCAGTAAAGGGGTTAATGAGGATACACCTATTGCCACTGTGCCATTAGAAAGAAAAGGAGCAAATATTATTAGCTCTGCAGGTATGAGCCCTGTATTCTGATTACTATTTTTTGCATGTGTCCCAGTACTGGAGCTTGAACTTGGAGCCTGCGTGCTGTCCCTTAGCTTTTTCATGCAAGGCTGGCACTCCACCACTTGAGTCAGACCTGACTTCTGCCTTTATGGTGGTAAAATGGAGAGAAGAGTCTCATGGACTTTCTTGTCCAGGCTGCATTCAAATTACAATCAAATCTCAGCCTCCTGAGTAGCTAAGATTATAGGTGTGAGCCACCAGTGCCCGGCTTCATCCTGATTATGAAGCTAATTTTATTTTTGTTGTTGTTGTTGTTTTTTGGGGGGGTCCGGTCATGGGGCCTGAACTCTGGGCCTGGGCACTGTCCCTCAGCTCTTCAGCTCAAGGCTAGCACTCTACCACTTGAGCCACAGTGCCACTTCCGGCTTTTTTCTTTTTGCTTATGTGGTGCTGAGGAATTGAACCCAGGGCCTCATGCATGCAAGGCAAGCACTCTACCACTGAGCCACTTTCCCAGCCCATGAAGCTAATTTTCTGTAGTTGCTCACTATTCCCCATATTTCCTATGGTATCTTCTTGAATCTCAATAAGAAATTACGTTAGAAGCAGAGCTGAAGGTTTATACTGCTGAGTTTTCCTGTAACCTAACAATCTTTGAGCCCGAACTTCCTCTTTTGAAATCATTAGCAATGCAAGAGTGTTGCACTGTGAAAACTTCATAGATGCATAAGCATATACTTTGAACAAATTTACTCCTTCCAATACATTCTCCTAGCTATTCTCCATCACCTCTCTTGATCAGTTTTTGATGGGTTTCATTATACTTCATTGTACATATGAAGGTAGTATGCATCAAACCTATATATCACCCTGCAAGAGCAAGATTTGGGAATTGTATCAAACTAAACTTTCAGCATAGCGAAAGAAACAACTACCAACATGAAGAAACAACTCACAAAATGTGGGAAAACCTTTGCAAGCTTTTCATTAGATAAATAATTAAGATCTGGAACAGAACATACAAAGGGTTCCAAAAGTCCAACAGCAAAAGAAGAAATAATTCAATTAGTAAATGGACAGATGAATGAAACAGAAAGTTCTCAGAGTTACAAAGGGCTAATAAACACATGAAGAACTGTCCAACACCCTTAGCCACCAGGAAAATATAAATCAAAGTAACATTGAGATTTTATCTCACCCCAATCAGAATGGTCATCATCAAGAATACAAACAGCAGTAAATACTGGTGAGGATTTGGGGAAAAGAACCTTCAAACAGTGTTGCTGGGAATGTAAACAAAAGCAATCACTATGGAAATCAGGTTTCTCAAAAAGCTGAAAGTAAACCTATGTCTTTGTCCTACAGCCATTGAGCATAGAGCCAAATTAGTATGAATCAACATACAAGCAGGATGCCTACACACACACACACACACACGTTTCTCTAAGCACTTTCTTTTATTCCTGTCAATCACAGTGTCCTGAATTCTTTCTTTCCAAATCATTTTAGCACACAGCTAGGTAACTACCTAGCACAGCATAGATTCCCCTGACATCAAGGTTCAATTTGTTCTAGAAATGAAATGAGCTCTCTCAGGACACGCCTGAAATTTTAGAAGTGATAGCTTGATTTTTGTCAATGACGGCTTGATCTTATTCAATCTCCAGCCCCATCAGCTAAGTCCTATCGTGACTACAGAAAGTGAAACTCACATGTTTTGTTCTATATGTTTGCTCCTGGACATGGACACTTGAAACAAGGCCTTCTTCATGTTGATTTTATTTATTTTAAGGCAAGATTTTATCAGGTTTAGTGATCCTGGAGTGGGTAAAAAAAACATGAAGGTTATATATGTTTAGTTTTTAATATCTATGTGCATTTGATGATATAAAATAATATATATTGAAATGAACTACAGGAAATGGAAACAGGAGGTTTTTGCTTTGTTGCTGTTTTTGTTTTCTTTTTCCTTTGTCTTGTTTGTTCATTTATCTGTCTTTGGGAGAGTAAAGGGAGGCACAGAAATAGTGCGACAAAAGGTAAACAATGCAGCAGTGGTACTCACTGGACACTATGCTGAAAATGAACTATACAACTTGTGGATGGGGAAGGGAGGGAAAAACTAGAAGAGAGCAAAGGCAGGGGTCATATTGTCCAAAAAGAGATACATTCTTTACCTGACTTACGCAACTGTAACCCCTCCGTACACATCTCTTTTATAATAACAACTAAAAATGCATGAAGAAAAAAATAACAAAGGAACTGTTTTAGTCATTTTATTTATTTATTTATTTATTGTCTGGGGATCTAAGGCTAACTAAGCAAGTACTTTCCAACCAAGTTGCACTCCCAGTCCAAGTTTTAATCAGATTTAACACAAAGGCTGACACTTGTGCCCTCATTTGCTTTATATGTTGGCTGCTGGGTGGCCCATCTGTTAGAACAGGACTCTAGGCACTCTGAGGGAATTATGGTACACTGTTACATGAGCATGTGCTGCACATTTGTGTGTGCCTATGTATAATCTGGGATGTAGGGAAAGGGAAATTGTGGGGCAGGCTGGGGTTTATATTGGTAAATTGGGTATATGATGTGCATGTGCATGTGTGTATGTGAGAGGAAGAAATCTGGGATACATGTGTACATAAATATTGATATGATCTGTGTGATGTGTGTCTGATGCACTGCCCTTGGCTACAATCTGTGGCATGTTTATATACCTGTGTGTGCCCGTATGACTGTGTTGGGGTCAGTTTTGGGGAAGATTAGGATTTATATTAGAATGTTGAGTTGGAGCATCATATAATTTTTATGCCTAGCTAAATTTAGGACTTGGTTTTTATACAGGAAAGGGTGTGGAATGTTCCATATGTCTTTTAAGCACTGCAGAAATTGTACCAAGTTGACACTTTTTATCGGCTTATATGAGTTATGGAGGGAGTGTCATTGTTACTATGTCCTATGTTTATACAGTGTTCCATTCAGTCTGACCCCCTCTATCACACTCTCTACCCATTCTTTCCCCTGAGCAAAGCATCTCCAGTGGGTTCCCCTGTTTCATTTTCATAGTTGGAAGTAATCTATTCCTATAATATTCATCCTTATTTACCTCCCAGCCAGCCCCTATCTCCCACTAGTCCTCACCCAACAATTTCTATTTCTGTCCCTATGCGCTCTACTGATCACCAGCTGTCCTTGAGTTTCGCTATGCTGCCCCTCATGTATGCTTACAACGTATCACAAAGTTATTCACCCTTTACTTTTTCGTGGTTCTGTTATTTTTTTTCTTCTCCTGAGATGTCTGTTAGCTTGATTGATGTTCTGTGTCAAACTGACATTTTGATACTGTAGCATAACTTAGGGATGACCAGAAACATACAGGGAACTGGAGGAGACCCAACCAGGACTGAATAATGCCATGAGACTTAGGCTAGCCCACTGGGGACTGATACGGGAAGGACAATGACTCCTACTTGTTTCCCCCATTTCCACACCTAAGGTGATCCTGTCCTTCGCTGGCTCCCCTGGGCTGTGGTTCCTGCTTTGGCCTATGAGACAGTAGCAAGTCTGATGGGACTTGAAGAATAACAGCAAAGGGCCCAGTGGTGCTGGCCTGGTTTAACCGCTGTATGGACCCCTCTCACTTTTCCATGGGGAGAAGCCATATGGGGCTAAGGAACAAAGTGTGAAGAAAGAAGTACAAGAGGAGGGGTGGCACTGTGAAGGAGAAAGGAACAGAGGAAGGAGGGGAGCCAGGACTGGGAGAGGCCCAGAGTGGAAAGGTCAGGAGGAAACAGACAAAACACAGGCTGGAGTGTGCCAGGAAAAAAGGACAGGCCAAGGGTGGGGGTGGGGGCTAAACCTGGCATAAATAAAAGCAGCCAAGCAGAACTCCTAGCCTCCAGATCGTGACCACCCTGCCTAACAACAAACAGCTCCAGCTCTAGCTCCAGCCATGGCCAGGATTCTAGGCATTCAGCTGCTCCTGCTGGCTACTCTGACCACGGCAGAGGATGCGAACCCTGAATCTAACGCGGACTCCTGGCTAGGGGGCTTGGAAAAGGCTGATGTCAACAGCGAGGAGGTGCAGCGTGCCATGGAGTATGCGGTTGGGTATCACAACCAGGTGCATGACAACGATGCTTACATAGACGATGTGGTGAAGGTTGTGAGTGCTGAACAGCAGGTACGTGCCTACTGGGGCGTAGGAGCGGGGTGCTGAATCTGGGTGGGCGTCTCTCTCAGAGGTGTGTGCCAGGTTCCACGCTCTGGACACCACTTGACACTTCACTCTGGAGCCTCTTCCTCCCCCACCCAGTTCTGACTGCTCTGGGTATGCTTCATAGCCCTTGGTATGGAGAAGTTCTGATTCAAGAAAATGTCCCCTGTCTTACTCTGGCCTGAACTTGGCCTCTGGCCTGGTACTGCAGCCGAATCCCTATTACCATAGTGTTTTCCAGCATCAACCAGTCAGAGGTGCCCCTTAGATTCCTACCTCCAGCTTAGTGAGGACAGGAGGTGAGTACAAGAGAAAAAAACACACCAGGCCACGCTCACTAAATGATGTCTTAACACGCTTCCCCTTAACCTCTTGTTACAATACAATCTCATATTCACAAAGCAGCTGGCACAGGAGTCACAGCACCCTGGCACATGCGTGTCCCTGTCTACTGGTCCTCCAAGCTTTCTCTATACACTTGCTTGGCATGCATTTACTTCTCTGAACTCTGGAGAGCAGACACTTCACTATACATGTCTTGCAAATAAGGGTTTTGTCTGCACATCCATGATTCCATTGTGAACATCAGAATCCACACTGCCACATACAATTCCACTTCTCATTCAGACTCTCTGGATTTGCTGCTCTCCAGTGGCGGGCAGTCAGACTGGGCTGCAGCCACAGTCCTGAACCTCAGCCTCCTTCTAGGTGGAGCACTCCTGCGGTTTCTGTGACCTTTGAAAGGCCTTTGAAAGGGTCCTGACAGTTAGGGTGTAGTCATGACATGCATGCACAGAGGAAGCCTCGTAAGATTACATCATCTAGTGACATTGTGGCCCTCTTGGTGTTTAAGTGAAGTATGACACACCACCACGAAATCCTAAGACACATTTCTCAGAACGTGTCTCAGTAACAGGTAAGCCATGTCTGTGTGGACTGTTGCTCACTCTGTGTGGATCTGATGTTTTCTGAAGGTTGAAGGTAGGTCATGGGCTGGTCTCCTCTTCAAGTCTTTCCAAGTCTTTTCTCCAAGTCTTCTTGAGGCTTGGCACAACAGGATAGTTTCCCTGGGGCAAGCTCAAGGGACCAGTGTCCCTTAGCCTGACACAGGTGCTCCATGGCCAGTGGTCCTGGGCACTTGAGTCCCCACTAGGGAAGAGAACCTGCACTTTGTACCTTTCAGCATAGATTTAGCCCTGGTGGAGGAGGAGGGAAATTGGCTAGGGGGAGAAGGGATCTGGAGACAGCATTAAGGGCTATTGTGATCCAGTAATAAAACATGTGTCAAAATGTGTCAGGTCTGAATAAAACATGTCAAAATAAGAAGTTAAAATAGAAAGGGTTAAGAGATCATGTCATGAATGTAGTTTATGTGAAGATCAGTTTCTCCTCTCTCAGATAGATACATAGATTGTCACATGGCACAACAGGATGGAAGGCTGTTTTTCTTTTTCTTTTCTTTCTATTTGGTGATACTGGGATTAAATCAAGGCCCTAGAGGATGCTAGACAAGAGCTCTGTCATCTGAGCCATGTCCCGTCCCTTCTGCTTTTATTCTATCTTGAAAGAAGATTTCCATAACTTTGTCCAGGCTAGCCTGAAACTATGGGTTCTCATGCCTTTGTCTTCTGAGGTAGTGGGACTACAGGCGTGTACCACCTTGCCCAGCTGTAGAGAGCTCAGTTTTGCCTCCTGTCTAAAATTCAGATGGTGAAGACTAGTCCATTTCTCCTGCTGTTGAAGTCATCACTGTCAGTCCTCCTTTGACCTATCATGTGTTTCCCATGCACCACAGCCTCGGCTGGCCTGTGAACATCTCTTGTGTAACTTGGAAAGAAGCATGGGGTATTATATTATATGTTATAAATCATCGGGTCCATGACACCTGTAAAACAGGTGGAAGATACAAGAGGGAGCGTGGGCTTTGCTCCTTCTACAGTTCCAGGTCTGGAGTCCTGTCCCCTGTCACTCATGCTGTGCTGGGCCAAACTTCTGACAAGTCAGGTCTGGGATGCCCTGGGCCTGGAAAGGATTAAATTCTCTTCTTTAATCACAGTGTAAGACACATAGGTGTGTGACACACTGAAGAGATACATATTCTCACTGACAGTTACATATTTGAAGCCTGGACCACTCCCCTTCCCCCTGTGTGTGAAATGTTCCACTTCCTCTTGTAGAATGAGAACACAGTAAGTGAAGGAAAATAGAGGGAAGGGGATCCTGTATGGGCTACATGCTAAGCACTGGAGTTTAGCTGGAGTTTAATCATCAGGCTACAAACTTTCTAGAATGGACCACTGTCTCTGCCTCCTGCGCCACAGGCAGAATTCAGTTAGTCCTGTGCTGTGGACAAGAGCCTTGGCTTTCTGCTCAGACTAGTGCTGGGCTCCTAGAACACAGAGCTGTCTATTTCCCTCCTGCATGGATGTCCCCTGAGCTGTCCCTTCCATCCCTGAGTCCAGTGAATGATTGCTCATTCCCAGCTCCTGCCTTCTGTTTTTCCTGCTTCTTTTACTTGACTCCAGGAGACATTTTGTCAGAATGCATCAAAGGAAAAGAAGTGATGCTGCTGTGTGCTTTGTGGGTGATGGTTCTGACAGCCCATGAATGCAGGTGTGAACCCTAGGCAAACAGGTCAACCCCATGTAATGTAGCTGCATGCATGTGACCTTGGCCAGTCAGGCAAGTGTTCTTTTCGCTCTAGACGGTGGCTGGAATGAAGTACAACTTTGTTTTGGAGATGGGCCGAACCATATGTACCAAGGTGGAGCCCAATTTGGATAACTGTCCTCTCAATGAGCAGCCGGGTCAGGAGCAGGTGAGTTGGGGCCAGTCATTCCTTGTCAATCTTCACCATATCCTCTCTCTTTCAAGAGTATTTCCCATCCCCTTGTTCTATTTGCCTCTTAGTCTTGGCTCTAGGGTGGGAGGAGAAAGAGCTTGAGGGTGGTAGGCCTTCCTCCTTTGTCTGCTTGTCTGGGGTTGCAACAACCTAGCAAAGCTTCTCCTTAGGGGTTGTGATGGGGGCAAGAGAACAGAGTCCCAGGGGCTTGGAAAGAGGTGGCACAAGACACCTGGTTTAGTTAGAGCAATGGCGGGATGGTGAGCAGATGTCAGAGTTGTGCTGTGGGTCCTGAAACTCCAGAGTTTGAGGGGGTGGGTTGGTGGCAAGCACCTCACCTCCATCATTTCCAATGGCCCTGCTGTTATCTCATGACTGAGCACCTTCTCTTTCAACAACAGCCATGCTGACGGTCTCATCTTTCTTTTGCAGAGAAAACTCTGCTCCTTCGAGGTCTACGACGTGCCCTGGGAACACAAGATGTCTATGTTAAGTTACAACTGCCAAAATGCCTAAGAGGCAGTGGCAGGCCGGGCTGCACTGACCACCCCTCTCTCTTGAAGCCTTGCCCTGTCGTTCACCAATCTTTAGATGAGAGCCCAGCCCCGGAAGATGCCTTCTTCAGTGGCAGCACCAGCAGACCAGTAGAGGAGGCTCCAGGCAGCTTAGCTAACCAGTGGCTTTCCTTTTCTCTTTCTTCTCCTTGCTTTTCAAATATCCCAGTGAAGGGAATGCTCTTCCTTACTCCATAAACAGATGATCAGCCTCCTGAGTTGTTTTCTGTCTTGGGGTGTGAGGGAGGAGCGTGGGAGCCTGGGCCTCAAGGCCACACATGTACATCATAGGGGAGGCTGTCTGCGATCTGAATCTCAGAGCACATAAAGAGCACAGAGGGACTGGAAACTCAGGTATGATGCAGACAGACAGACAGACAGACAGACAGAGGACAGAAAGGATGTAGGCTGCCATGCTAGAAACTTTGTTTCTGCCTTTAAAAAAAATGTCAGACATCAGAAAAAGGATAGGCCAGGCCTCACAGATGTATGCAGAGCTGACTGACTATGGGAAGTACTTGTCATCTGTCAGGCTACCCAGAAACTCCATAAATGGCAATTTATGTGTAAATCATATTGTGTGTGTGTGTGTGTGTGTGTGTGCCCTCACTAGAGATGGACTCAGGAACTGAGCACTGTCACTTAACTTTTTCATTCAAGGCTGGTGTTCTACCATGCGAGTCACAGTTTTACTTCTGGTTTTCTACTGGTTAATTGGAGATGAGTCTCATGGACTTTTCTGCCCAGGCTAGCTTTGAACTTTGATCCTTAGATCTCAGTCCCCAGAGTAGTTAAGATTATAGGCATGAGCAACTGGCACTCAAATTTAAATCATCTTATTATGTATATTTCTATTCACAAAAGATCGGCACCTGCATGACAGAGCATAGGAAAGATGTTTATGTGTAACTCGTTGCGGGAAAAGACAGATCAGAAGTTAGGAAGGGAGACACGGCACAGCATGGAAACAGTACATTTGTCATGTACTTAGCTGTGCCCTGTTGGGGTGTTACAGGCAGCTACTCCCCATCTCCTCTGCCCTTGTAGATAAAACAAGTCCTTGTGTGTAGCATCATGAGAGATGTAGCATTTACGATAGAAGCAGTTTGTCACTAGGTGGACTTTCTTCTAAGGAGGGCATCTTATTCATCACCTTGCCTTGATGTTAACCTCATTGTACACAAAAGGGATGTCTTTGATGGCCCAGAGCAAACAGACCATGGTCCTACTATGCACATGTGCATGGTGCTTTTTCTTCTGTCCTTCCTTCTGCCTCAAAGGGCAGAAGGAAGACATCTGGTCACTGGAACCATTTCTCCGAAGTGCACTCATAGAAGCATTAGAAAGCTGTCTTGGAGCCCAGTGCTGGTGGCGGCTCACATTTGTAATCCTCACTACTCAATAGTCTGAGGTCTGAGGATCAAAATTCAAAGCCAGCCCAGCCAAGGAAGGCCATAAAACTTATCTCCAGTTAACTAGCAAAAACACAGAAGTGGAGTTGCCGCTCAAATGGTTTACCACCAGCCTTGAGTAGAAAAACTACAGGAAAGTGTCCAGGCCCTAAGTTCATGCCCCCAGTATAGGCACAAGAATGAAAATAAGAAAGAAAATAAGAAGGAGAGAGAAAGAGAATAAAAGAGAAAGACTGAAAAGAAAGAAAGAGAAAGAAAAGAAAGAAAGAAAGAAAGGATGAAAGAAAGAAAGGAGAAAAACAGAGAAAGAGAAAAAGGAAAGAAGGAAGGAAGGAAGGAAGGAAGGAAGGAAGGAAGGAAGGAAAGAAAGAAGGAAGGAAGGAAGGAAGGAAGGAAGGAAGGAAGGAAGGAAGGAAGGAAGGCTGTCTTGGGCATGGTAACCACACCATGCTCACTAAAGGTGAAATGCCAAAGGGGACCAGAGAGTCTAGTGGTCAGCACCCCACAGACTTTGGGTTGCAATGGTGAGCTGAGCACAAACAGCATGGCACCCCATTTTTCTCCACCTTGAAGACAGATGCCTCTCTATCTCCATTTAACAAAAGTCCTTGGAAAGATGTAAGGGAAGTACCTCCCACCACGCCATGAGTTCCTAAGATCTGAGGGCCAGTAATAGGGCAGAGAAGCCAGGCATGGCTATCATAGAATCTGGGGTATCCTGTCTGCAGAGGCTTCTACCTAGATGAAAGTTCTCTCTTTGATCTGAGCAGCTACCCTCCCTGATTTTTTTCTTCTTTGGGGGAATTTAGGATTGGAGATGGGGCTGTGTGACCAATTTTCTTTCCTTCCCTCTACCCAGTATCTCCCAACTTATGACTCAGAAAAATGCAGGCTGATCCCATGCCAGCTCCCCGCAGGAGCAGGCCTCTGTGAATGCCAGGATCCTGGCCCCAGGCCACCTGTGCTCTTATGGGCTGAGGGGAAGCTCAACAGCTTCTCTCTGCAGATGACATCTATCGATTGTTAATGTCAGCCATAGGTGTACATTTTAATCTATGATTAGCCACAGTACAGTGGCTAAATAGACAGTACAGTGCCTGACTTAGCACAGGGCCCAGCTCAGAGGCAACACCCAATACATTTTACCATTTTTTTCCTCTCATGGATTTCTACATATTGACGTGGTTTTAAAACAGGGTCCCCAAATTCTCTGGCACTCCTGGTACAGCTGAACAGTGCCTAGGCTCCTGCCTCTTAACTTCAGATGGGCTTGTGACTGCTTGTACCAAACCACAGAGGGAATCAAGTGGTAACCTGCCACGGGTCAGGAGAAACCTTATAGGTTTTGCTGCCCTCTAGTGGATCTTGAGACAGAGTCCAGGCGAGGAGTCCACTGTACCCAGAGCCACCATATCTGGAAGGCCGGGCGATGACACTCCAGGTGTCCTAAGGATCCTGGCTTCCCTTTAGTCAGCCCTGTGTCCCTAGAGCATAGCCTCACCTTTCTCGGGGGCTGGGGATGAGCCCTGTGACTTTACTGATCATTCAGAGCCCAGTAGCCCCATGTCTTTTCCCAGGGGAAAACCACATTGAGGACCTGCTCTCTGTCTTACAAGCTTCCTGCCCCCACAGCAACCTGCTTCCTGAGATGTCTAGGCCTGGGAGGATGGTTTGTGTAGCACACTCCTTCATGCATCTCCATTTCCAGACTCCTCACGCTCTACACATGGTTGTTGCTCACTGCTGAGGTCCAGTCACAGCCCAGGGTTCAGACGTCACTGGGAAGGGAACGAGCCCATCCCCCACAAGCTCCCAGATGGGTGTCACACAAGGTGCAGGTGGAGATGCGAACAGGCATTAATACAGAGTTAAGAGTACAGGCCGTCAGAGGCCCATGGGGGCCTTGTGGCTGCCTAGCCCTGCCTGGGGTTGTGGAATCTCCAGTGAGGCTCAAGTAGAGCCTGGCCTCTCCTATCACTCAGGTTGGAAGAAGTTCACAACCATGACCACACTTCAGGGTTCTTTTCTCCCTGGTAGATGTACACCATCCATGGGGATATGTGAGGGGGGGGGATGAGGTATTAGGTCCTTGGCAGACTGCTTGGCCCTCAAAGCGCATGAGAGAAGGCACAAAGGTTGCATTCTCTGTTCTGGGGGATGAAGTCTCAGGACTCTTCCTCTGGACAAATCCAGCCACCTCCCCTGGGCTAGTTGCATCCCTCTCCATTTGCCTTAGTTCTTGCCAAAATATCCAAAGTGAAGTAATTGCCAGCCATTGCAATGACCATTCTACCAAATTTTAGTGTTATCCTAACCCTACAGATGCTGCCATGAGATAAGATGAATTGGTGGGAGGAGGAGGGCGCTTTGGACTCACAGAGATGATGGAATGTGTCTGAGGAGGCCATGCTGCCAAGGGGCAGCCCTCACCCCCACAATCCAGAAAGGGTTAAAATGCTGAAATATCAAATATAAAAATGACCATGACAAGAAGAGAATCTTTCAGCCTAGCATCATGTGACTCACACCTATAATACTACCTACTCAGGAGGCTGAGATATGGGAGAATCACAACTCGAGGCCAGTTTAGGCAGAAAAATAGGTTAGACTTTATCTCTAACCAGTGAAAAAATCGAAGGCTGGAGATGTGGCTCACGTTGTAGAGCACTAGCCTATCAAGAAACCAAGCAAGCACAAACCCTAATTTCAAATACTTACATTACAGGTAAAGAGAAAGAAACAGGATGAGACAGAGACAGAGACAGAGACAGAGATAGACAGACAGAAAGAGACTATCAAGATAGCACTCAAACCAACAAAACTAACCCACAAATGCAGTACTGTACTTAACCATCTCCTAACCTGGTGAGTCCTACCAAATTTGTAAACATTCCTAATTTGAGTTTTATCCTGCACCTAACCATAAAGACCACCAGATGGCAACATTCACCTGCTGATGATCAACACTGCTCCTGGACTTTAGTGTTCTGGTCATCCTATGTATTCAGAAAGGTAGCTCTGGGAAGGAACTTAGTGTCTACCTGGAAGGATGAAGCTTTGTAAACTTTATACCCATAACTGCTGCTCTACGCTCTGGAGAGCTCCATATTCCTGTCTCTGCTCTCACTGTTCTGGCATATCTATAAACAGTACAAAATAACGGAACAGTACAAATGACAGTAAATCTACACTCTCCAGTTATTGAAGCTTCCTCTATGTCTCTCACCTTAAGCAGGAAGACTCTAAACTGGAGTTCCCCCTGAAAGGAGAGACGGACCTACCTAGAACTGGCAGAGATTGTAGAGAAACTAGGACTTGCTCAAAGCAGATTAGGTGAACTTGCGTGACCCCTGTGGACAAGCCTGGCTTCTGCTGTCTCTGCTATGGTTTCCCCCCTCCTTCTTTTCTCTCTGCTGTCTTCTTCATCCTTCTCTTTCTAGGTTACCTAACTCCTTCTTCATGGTGTTCTCTAGAGGCCAGAGGCAAAAGTGTCAAGGAAAATCTGTATTCTTCATTCAGTGATGTGACTGAGGACAAGACCCGTTTGAGCCTGATTTGATAGACCAGCACAGGGAAAGCCCCTGACCACCACCCACTGCCTACGTTCTGATTCAGAAAGC